TCTGACACCTCTCTCTCTCTCTCTCTCTCTCTCTCTCTCTCTCTCTCTCTCTCTCTCTCTCTCCCTCTCTCCCTCACTCTCTCTCTCTCTCTCTCTCCCTCACTCTCTCTCTCTCCCCCCTCTCTCTCCCTCCCTCACTCTCTCTCTCTCTCTCTCTCTCTCTCCATCAGCTGATGCCTGGAAATGCCACTGCTGGGCAGGAAGTGCTCAAGAAAATAAAAACGAAAGCACACAGCGGATTGAAGTCAACATGCGCTAATGCTCGGGATACTCTCCGACGGTGGCCAGGTTAGTGCTGTCCATACATTAGAGGTTGAGTTTGCCGATTAATTGAGTCACTGTTAACAGTTTGAGACTCGTAACGTAAACACTGCGCCGTTCCACGCTGTTGTACAGCTTCCCAAAACAAAGCTCGACTTGAGAACAGTCACTTACAGAAATGAAAGACTTTACATATCATTTAATTTACTCTAGTGATTTTAGCTTTACTTTTCACTCTTTTGCGGCTTGAGTTAGCTGGTTAGCACTTCTGCGTTATGATCGAATAGCTGGAAATAATGTTTATGGAGTAACGTTATGTGAAGCGTCTGTATCACCCTCTCAATCTTTCATTTAATTTGCATATCTAAATGCATCTTATCTAAACTTTATACAATGAATTTCAAGTAAAAAGAGTTTTGTTACACCCTTCTTCACTATGAATTTATTATGATAATCAAATTGACCACCCCATCCGTATTTAATTATAAACATGGTGATTCAAAGCCGCTAATAAAACTATAAATATAGAAATATAGAAAGTAAAAGTACATGGGTGTGTCATGTTACAATCCTACCCCTCTGATCAGTTGTGATATTAGTAAAGCTTATAAACATCTGCTTATTCAGATTCTGTCATTTAACATGACACAAATTGTGCTGATTGTTTTGCACAAAGTCTAACTTGTGCCACTTGAGATTGGTGTTCATGTAAAGTATTATTTCACCCCTGTAGCCCATTTCTATTTATTTAAACTGATGGTTACAACTCATCTTGGGTTACAAACACTGGTCTCCCCTACAGTTTATTTGACAAAACATGCTGTCTGTAGTGTTTCACACTACATCTTTCAACTCTGTTTAACTATGATCAGCATTGTGAGTAAATGCATTTGCATTTATTTGCCTTTATGGAATATTTGTGCTTGTGTTCTTTGCCTCACGCTTCTGTAGCTGACATGATCTGCTGTCTGGCAGGTAAAATAAGGAAGAGGAGAAGATGGCGCGTCAGGGCAGCGGACAGGCCTGGGGAAAACTGGGGAAAGTCAACGCATCTCCGGGTTCAGAGATATTACTTATAAATAGAGAATGCACAGTGGGGAGAAAAAAAGGTGCGCTGAACAGCATCATGTTCATGTTAGTTGCTCAGTCTTGTTTTGTGAACGCATTTTAAAAGTGCTTCTTCATTTACTTGCCTTTTCCCCCGTAACCTCTTTACAGACTCTTCTATGACTGTCTAGTTTTACTTATTGACATAAATAGTAACTTTTTTTTTTAACCCTCAAGAAGACAATCAGTCTGAAGCAGTGTCTGCATGTATTGAGGGAGCCCATGCCTTTCACAATGCTCTCTTTAGTTCAGCAAACGAACCCCCACCCCAATAATGACAAAGGCGTCTATTGAAGACATGCTCTTGGAATATTAAGTAGTTTTTTTTGCGTTGTGGTGGTGTGCAAGGAAAGGTTGTATCCCTTTGACTCTATCTGTGTCGATCTGGTTTTGAAGACTGTCTTTATCCTGCATTAATTAATATTAATCCATGTGTCTGTTTGATTCTGTGTGCTTCACAGTAACATTGGACACTGGTTATTAGCAGAACTGATACACTTCATTACTATAATAGACTAGTGTCATTTTTAACTTTACATCACAACATTTCCGACGCGTGCTTGCGGTGTTCGGCCAATCACAATGCACTGGGTCAGCTGGCCAATCAGAGCAGACTGCGCTTGTCGGAAGGAGGGACTTTGTAGAAAACGAAGCGTTTGAGAGAGGCGGGGCATAGAGGACCTACAATAATGTACAGTATTTGAAAAATAATGTGTTTTTTGAACATTAAAGCATGTCAACATATTCTGTTACACCAAATACACAAAATAATGATCTTTAAAAAAAGCATCATATGACCCCTTTAAGACTTACTTTCCTAATGTGTCGAGGCGAGAAAGTAATGGGCCAGGTCAGGAAGAGAAAAGGTGCTTGACGAAAAGAGGAACGTGCTTTATTAAAGTCGACATGAAAATGTGTTCGCAACCAATTTTACTTCAGTAGTGTCACATTTTAAAGGGAAGCAGGATATTAAATAAAATTTGAGTGTCCCTTTTATTATTCACATTTATCTACACTCTTGTAGACAAAGCAACTTATATTGCAAAGTATATATTTATCATTTCATGCATTTACTGAGAATTACTTCCATGACTTTGGCATTGCTAGAAGCATGCACTGCTGTAATGACTAAATACTACTACTGTGTTTATTATTAATAATAATAGTTATTACAGTAGTGAGAATTTTGTGAGGTAATTTCACTATTAATATTAAAGGTCCTAAAATTACATTTTATTTTCTTCATGCTTTTCCCATTTTCACACTGCTAAAGCTGGCATTTTTCTATAGTGTTTTTGCAGATTTATGTAAAGGCTTAAGCTGGCAGTTGGGACAGGGCCTAAAGTCTTAATGGTGACATCAGCCGAAACTTTTCAGAAGTGGAACCATTCTCTTTGTTGAAAGATTATAAAGAGCTACTTTCTTTCTTTGGAATAACACAGTGATGGGTGGATTGTACACAATAAGAAAAAGAATATAGTCCATTTTGAATTATTGTTGACTTGTGTTGATATCGTAACCTCACAGACATATTTTCTTTATAGATTGTGACCTCTCATTCCCGGCTAATAAACTGGTCTCAGGGAATCATTGCAAAATCACTCAAGATCAGAACTCAGGACAGGTGTGGCTGGAGGACATGAGGTAGGGCCACCTGTTTGACATCATGAGGTCCTTCTAGTAAGACATAGGCCAATATCACGTTCTTCGCCCTTTGCATATCTCTATCTCTATCTCTATCTCTCTCTCTCTCTCTCTCTCTCTCTCTATATATATATATATATATATACATACATTGAATCCAAAATAAAAGTTTTTGTTTACACATAATATATGCATGTGTACTGTGTATATTTATTATATGTATATATAAATACACACACGGTATATATTTTGAAAATATTTACATGTGTATATATTTATATTCATATAATTTGTTATATATATAAATCTATTTAATATAAACAACATATTTTTCTTACATTTATACATGCATGTGTGTGTATTTATATGTACATTATAAATGTACACACACATATATTGTGTATACAAAAACTTTTATTTTGATGCGATTAATCGTTTGACAGCACTTATATATATGTACATAAATATGTTGTTTCACTGAATGACAATAAAACATTATTTCTCCCATATTTTTATTTTCACAAAAACATCAAAGTAGACATTTCATTTTCTTTGCACAATGCTTTTTGTGTATGTAAAATGTATTTTGTAAATTTAATTTGATGTGGGCACAAAAATGGCATCTTGTCTTTGACCCATACAGTATATTATAAGTTCTTATATTTAAAGATTTCACCATGCATTGATTACAGCAAGAAAGAGGGATGAGTGTTCTGTAAATTTACAGAACTAATATTATTTTGGAAGACTGATGTATAATGGTAATGCTACAGTTTAATTTTTTTTCACAAGTAGATGTACCAGTAAAAAACTTAGGTAGAAGCAGTTCTTTTTAGTTCTATTAAGTTTTTGCAAATTATACTGAGTGACTTGTAATTACGTTAGTAAGTGAATTCAATTAATGACATGCTTGGCCCTGCGGCAAATATACATCCAATTCCCTCATGACATTTAATCTTTGCTTTGGTGAATAATTAATTGTAATTTGGTTAATAGTCAGTGGATGGAGATACAGTAGTTGATGTGTGTCTGTAGTGACTGTATGTCTCATGTATTTGAATGTACGCTAGCTCACCAATGGTGCTATACATTTCCATCCAGCTAATTAAATGAATGTCTGCTAGACAGTCGATATGCTGTGTGCTTTACACAATGCTTAATCAGCGTTATGGAAACGGCAAGCTTCCCTTCCTACCTTCTTGTTATCCTTTCTTGTGCAACTTTCTCTTTGCTATTTTTTAACAAGGCTTTAACTAGGCACTTTATTTTGTCTCTATTCGTTATCCTGAAAGAAATAGTGGATACTTTGGTCGATCAGTTCTACCTGGATCAGTCAATTAAAAAAAAAATTGGACAATTAAGTGGACATGTTTGGACAAGTTGCTCAGGCATTTCGAATTGTGATGTTTGCTAATAACTTCTCATAATAATTTCCTGTTGTTTTGTCGATTATTTCTGAGAATACAATTCACAGATGTAGTCATTTAGCCTCTGAATAGCACTCATACAAAGGGATCCATGAAATTCATAATTACTATAATTTTTGCTTGATGGTGATCCGTTTGTTTCCGTCAGCACCAATGGAACAGTGATCAACATGTCCAAAGTGGTGAAGAAACAGACACACTTACTGCAGAATGGTGATGTTATACACTTTGTGTACAGGAAGAATGAGCCAGAGCAAAGTGAGTTTTCACATTTAAGCATTTTCCGTTTCGATTGTATAGTTGCATCCAAACAGATGACACAGATTGGCCACGTCACTCATCTATTTTCGGTTTTGCAGACGTCGCTTATGTTTATCAGGTCATCGGGCCACAGGAAAGTGCCTCACAGGACATTGAAGGTAAATACATTTTGAATATGACGTTTCATACAGATGTTCCAATACTCCTACTGTTGTTTGCCTAGGGTGAGGTCATGTTGACTTGAAATCCTAATTTCATCCGCATGCCATTTTTGACAGTTTCTGAAAGTTAGAGTTTTCTCTTTGGGATCTCCATAGATATTGGAAGAGAAGAAGATTCAGATCTGACGGAAACCGAGAGTGAACCAGTGCCAGTAGAGCCTGTTATTGTGAAGCCTCTACCTCAGTCTGGGCATGAGGATCCTCAGCCATCTACCTCAAGCTCTTCCTTCCACTTCTACAACATGCCCTTATCTACCTGCTCTGGTAATTACCGTCCACACTGCACGCGCTCTTTCATGCAAGTTGCTTTGATAAGAAAATGACTAGTATAAAAGTGTAAATGCATTGGCTTTCTATGCTGCTGTTTATCTATGCGTTGAGTTTTTCAGATTTAAGGCCCATTCGGACCAAGGATGATAAATATAACGATAGTTATAGAAATCATTCTGAAAGAGTTCAAAGAATAGCCGAGTCCAAAACTGTAATGATTACGGCACAGGGGAACAGTATGCCTGGAATCACTTCTTCAGAACCATTTGTTTCTAACTGATGAACAATCAAAACATTGACAACCAATCGGAATCCATCCTGCTTCAAAGAGCAGTGTGCACTTATAATAAACAGAATGTTATCATGAGTTACTGTGGATGCTGATATAGTTACCTTTATCTTTATAGTTATCATTTTTGGTGTATGCAAGCCTTTACAATGTTGACATACTCAAAAAATGCATAAAATATATATTTTTAAAAATTATATTCCTGTATGTACCGTTCAGCAGATGTGTCTGCAAGGAAGAACCCAGTGAGTTCTTCGGTTGCTTGTAAAGGAGAATCAGAGATGACTGCACCAGCAAGCAGCCCTGGGGAGCCGGTCATGAATCACTCTCGCCTGAAGTGGACCTGCTGGACTGAGGGAGGACAACAGACGGAGCCGGAGGTGGAAATGCAGAGGAAAAGAAGAAAAACTGACAAAGGTGCTGTAACACAGTTTTGGTAAAAAATTAAAAAATGTGACGCATTGTAAATAATTTATGATTCGGTCTATTTTGAGTGGTCTGAGCCATCTGTATTCCGGCATAATAATAGTCAGACTACTTTGAAAGAGTTTAAAAGTGTTTAGGCTCTGATGGTTTAAGATTGCCATCTTCACTACCGTTAAAAAAGGCTGCATTTATTTGATCAAAAATACAGTAAAAAAGTATTAGTGATATATTATTACAGTTTAAATGAACAGATTTCTGTTTTAGAAAGTCATGGCCTAATGGTTAGAGAGACGGACTCGTAACCCAAAGGTTGCGGGTTCGAGTCTCGTTTAGGGATTGTAGGTGGGGGGAGTGAATGTACAGTGCTCTCTCCCACCTTCAATACCACGACTGAGGTGTCCTTGAGCAAGGCACCGAACCCCCAACTGCTCCCCGGGCGCCGCAGCATAAATGGCTGCCCACTGCTCTGGGTGTGTGTTCACAGTGTGTGTGTGTTTACTGCTGTGTGTGTGCACTTTGGATGGGATAAATGCAGAGCACTAATTCCAAGTATGGGTCACCATACTTGGCCACATGTCACGTCACACTTCCCTTTTTCACTTTTTAATGTATTAAAATGTCATTTATTCAGGTGGTGGCGAAGCTGAATGTTCAGCAGCCGTTACTCCAGTCTTCAGTGTCACATGATCATTCTAATCATTGTAATATGCTGATCTGGTGCTTAAGTAATATTTCTTATTATTATCAATGCCGACCAGTTTTGCTGCGTAATTTTTTGTGGAAACAGTGACGCCTTTTTTCAAGATTGTTTGATTAATAGAAAGTTGAAAAGAACTGAATTTATTTGAAATAGAAATGTTTTTTTTACATTATAAATGTCTTTATTGTCACTTTTGTGGCATCTTTGCTAACTAAAAATAATAATTAAAACAATGAAATCTTGCTGACTTTTGAATGGTAGTGTATATCTGGTTTTAACATGCGTTTCAGAACTATTCTACAGTATAAACACTTCCAAATGTAACCTTTGTGTCTGTGTCCGTCTGTCCTGCAGATGATCAGAACGGGTGTGGATCTTCTCACAGTGACTCTTCTCAGGTCTCTCTCAGAGGAGCAGCAGGGAAAGAGAAAACTGAGGGAGCCACTACAGACAAAATGGAAGAATCCCTCACATGCATCGTCTGCCAGGACTTGCTGCACGACTGTGTCAGGTCAGTCCAACATGCACAAATCAACACTTACACCCGAATAGACCAGCTGGCTGAGCATAAATCCCTTTTAGTTGTTTTATTAATTATAATTTAATTATAAATAAATATAAAGCGATGGTTCACCCAAAAATGAAATGAAGGTGAAGTAAATGATGACGGAATTTTCGTTTTTGTGCGAACTATACCTTTAAGAAGGATTTTAAAAAGGTGCGTGGAGGCTGAATCTGAATGTATCTTCAATAGTTAATGTGTGTGTCTGGTACAGTCTTCAGCCCTGCATGCATACGTTTTGCGCTGCCTGTTATTCTGGCTGGATGGAGCGTTCCTCCCTCTGCCCCACCTGCCGATGTCCTGTGGAGAGGATCCATAAAAACCACATCCTCAACAACCTGGTGGAGGCTTACCTTCTCCAGCACCCAGGTACTGTAACACGCCACTATTCTCACTTTGTATTAAGGCCTGTTCACACTGAGTCAACTTACTAAACAACATGGGAGTATAAACCGTTTACAAGCTATCTTTAACTTTGTTTTTAATTAAACAATACCTAGGCAAAGAGACAAAAATAAAAGTGTCTAAGAGTTTACAGATATGTGTTACTTAGCACAAATATGCCTAAGCACAAGATTTCAACGAGAGTGGCACTTTTAATCTTTAAGTAACTACTCTGTACAAATCAGATGTCAGGTACACTATTGTTCAAACGTGTGAGGTTGGTGAGTTTTTTTTTTTAATGTTTTGAAAGAAGTCTCTCTTATGCCGAGTTCACACTGCACAATATTAGCCAGATTTTTCACTCGCCGACAGGTTTTGTGAAATCGCCGACAAATGCCTGACATCAGAGGCAAATCGGTGCTCGTTCACGCGAGTGACAATCACGCAGTGTGAATGATCAAAGACGCGATCTAAGAACGCAGTGTGAAAACAACGGCGATCCGACGAGTTTGAAAATCGTGCAGTGTGAACTCGGCATAAGGCTGCATTTATTTGATCAATAATACAGTAAAAACAGTATTATTGAGAAGTATTATTGCAATTTAAAATAACCGGTTCCTATTTTAATATATTTACAGCAAAGCTGAACTTTTAGCAGCCGTTATACTCCAGTCTTCAGTGTCACATAATCCTTCAGAAATCATTCTGATACTGATTTTTTTACTGAAAACAGTTGTACTGCTTATTATTTTTGTGGAAACCATGATAATACTTTTTTCAGGATTCTTTGATGAATATAAAGCTTAAAAGAAAACGTACTAATCCCTAACTTTTGAACAGATTTTTCAAATTTTGTGGCTTTTTTTTATTTTTTTTAATTGGTCATAGAGAAGTGTCGGAGTGAAGAGGAATTGCGCAGCATGGACGCCCGAAACAAGATCACGCAGGACATGCTGCAGCCAAAAGTCGAGCGCTCCTTCTCGGATGAGGAGGGCAGTTCAGATTATCTGTTCGAACTCTCAGACAATGACAGTGACGTATCTGACATGAGGTCAGCAACCGTTATCCATTAAGTGTTTTTGTAGTGCCGTCATACAGTGGTGGCCGAAATTATTAGAACACTAGTATTTTCACCAGCTAAAAAATGGGTTTAAGTTAGTTAGTTATGTCTGTATTTGCTGTAGTGTGTCAGGAGGAAATATCAGTTTACATTCCATTAATTGTAATAAGAAACCTATTTCAAGAAACCTACCTGCAAAGCTACAGTACTGTGTAAAAAATACTGTAAAATGAGGATGCTGTCAAAAATAATGTCATAAATAGATATTCTTTACCAATTAACTTCTATTAACTAAATTAAATTGTGAGCATCCTTTGCGTTTAAAGCAGCTTTTGCCCTCGGTGCACTTGTGCATAGTTTTCAGGTAGCTTTGCAGGTAGGTCTCTTATTACAATTAATGGCTAAATGAATGTTTGGAAATGTAAACTGATATTTCCTACTGACACACTACAGCAAAAGATAGAAATAACTGACTTAAAACCATTTTTAGCTGGTGAAAATACTAGTGTTCTAATAATTTTGGCCACAACTGTGTATATATTGCATTTTTTTCTTTTCTTGAAGTAGAAGTTTAAGAAGGGAAAATCCAGTTACCCAAATTATTAGTGTTTTGTTTTCTTATTGAATGTTAGCTAAAATTGTGATTCTCTTGAATCTTAAAACAGTAGATGTCCAGTAGGTTCTATCAAGTATTGAAGTGATTACTGAAACACACCCTGATCTAACATGTTTGTTCTCAGTCAGCCCTATATGATGTGTCGGCAGTGTCCAAGTTATCGGAAGGAGCTCAGCTCTGCCCTGTGGATCTGTGAGCCCGCTCAAACCGAAGGGCCGGCTAAAGTGCCTGGAGACGGCCCCTCCACATCTTCTGACACCTCCCCAGGTTATTCATGCTCACACTTCAGAGGTGTAAAGAGCACCTGAAAACCATACCTGAGTACAGATACCTTCGAGTGAAAATGACTCCACTACAAGTCACAAGTCACCAATTCCAAAACGGAACTTGTGTAAAACTCTTAAGCGTATCTGATTTCAAAAGTACTTTACTTATAATAAATATATATATATGCCAGTGAAAAACTATAATGTTGTGGAGAAGCTAATTTAAGGGGGTCTGAATACTTTCCGTACCCACTGTATATATGCCAGTGAAAAACTATAATGTTGTGGAGAAGCTTGGGAAAACAGGCAGAGGGAAGGATCTATGTGCAGGTATTTAATGGAAAAACTAGAACAAACAATAAGCCAAAAACCAAAGGGAACAAATTAATGTAAAATTCAAAGCCTTCTTGCACTGGATGTGCTGGTTTGGGCCTCATTGCCAGCTACATTCATGTCCTCATCTCATGTATAAAACACCTGTGATTCACAACTACTTTCTAAGGATTCTCGCCTTGTTGACCAGTTTGGATGAGTAAGGGCAAAGTGCACAAGATGCAGTACTCTGGTGCCCTGTAGTTGGCGATATCACGTTCTTAGCAGAAAAAAACTGCTGCAGAAAAAGCTATAGGTGCCATGCAAAACTGTAATGTGTATCTGCGTCACTCATGACAAATGTAGTGGAGTAGAAAGTAAAAGTTGCTATTATCTTTGATACTCTACAAAGTACCCAAAAAAGATACTCAAGTACAGTAATTAATTACATTTACTCAAATACTTTACACCTCTGGCCTAGATAATACACTCACACACCAACAGACACATCCATGCAAATCTTCATGTTCATCCATGCACTGTATTCCTGCTGCAGCTGCTCAGGCGTTCAGATGTCCTCCTCAGGGCAGTCACCTCATCTGCTCCTGCTGCCTGCAGCCCATGCCCGACCGCCGCTTCGAGCACCTTCCCCCTCAGGTGTCTCCGCAGCACTGTGAGTGATCCTGACACCTGTCCGTCAATGCTCTCCAGTTCTCTTCTGGAGTCACCTGATGATTTGTTGTCTGTTCCTTTGACAAGGTATGGTGTGCCAGAAAGCGTACTGTCATGTGTACTGGGGCTGCCAGCGGATCGGCTGTCACGGCTGCCTAGAGCGTTTCAGCGGTAGGTTTCTGAGCGGTTAAGATTTCTGTATGAAATGTTACTATATTTTATTTTATAATAAAGATTATGGTTATTTCTCCTCACAGAACTTAACCTTAATGATAAATGTCTGGATGGAGTTTTTAATGGCAATCAATACGAGTCTGAAGTCCTTCAGGTGTGTACAGTTTGTTTGCTGATACTTTGGGATCACTGTTATTTTATTAGTGTTTTGAGGTATCTTTATTTTACTTTATATTTTTATAATTTCTATTATTATTTGTTTTAAATGTCTATTTGGCTTTCATTTATTTTTATTTCAATTTTAGTCATTTTAGTATTTCAACTTAATTAATTTCAGTTAGTTGACAACATTTTTTAAGTTAATATTTTCCCCTAATATTTAATTAAAACTTCAGCTTTATTTCGATTAGGTAAACAATATTTAATAGTTTCTGTTAGCGATACAAACACTGTGCGGAATTGGAACAAATCCCTAACTTTAATTATTAAACTTTTGTTTGTGCTACAGACACACATTAAACCTCAAATTATGTGGATAAGAGTTAAGGAGAACTGTGCTATTACTTTTCTAAACAATCAGACTTTTTTTTTTTTTGCCTGATTGATGATAAATTGGGCAAAAAATATCACACTGTCTGACATAGGCTGTCAATGCATAGATTGAAATAATGAACTTAATCTGATTATCTCAAGCTGCAGTAACATGTTTGCATTGTAGAAAAAAAAAAAAATGCATAAGATAATTATGCAAATTTTCTTGATGCATAAGAATAATTTATTGCAATGGCCATTTTTCGTATCTTAAACTAAACTATAAATGCATTTGCCCCATTTTCCCACTTGGAAACCCAGTCGTCTAAGCTGTTGTTCATTTCTGTTTTTTTGTGGCAGAATTATTTGACTTCTCGAGGAATGAGCTGGAGGCATATGCTGCAGGAAGCGCTTCAGGCCGTACAGCAGGGCCTGTACCAGCTCTCTGGTAACTGCACTTTGGTCATATTGAGAAATGTTGAGGATCAGGCACAGGTTGAAGTAAGGGTGGTTAATATAAGGGAAGAAAATCACAACATTTCTAAATATTTTGGGGGATACATTATATTTATGACATTATGCATATTTCTATGGAAGAGAGATGGTCATTTTCACATCACAGAGAGTCTTTTTCTCTGAACACAAGTAATTGGAAGCCCCATTTTCTTACATGCAGCTGCAAATCGTATTATGTATCCCAGCTGATTCATAATTTTGCCATGTCACTCATCCCTGTGATTAAGAAACGGAATGTCAATGCATCAGTTATCTAGTACTATTTGACTGAAAGTGATTATCTCAGGTAAATGAAAAATCACTTGTTCATATGTGCATGTTTCAGATTACAGAATCACTGCCAACTCTTTCCTCTGCTACTGCTGTGGACTTCGCACTTTTAGAGAGCTGGCGTATAAATACAGAGAGCATATTCCTCCATCAGATCTGCCAGGTAAGACTCGTGTGCAATAAAATAACACAAAGCTGCACAGTCATATTAGCGTCACAGAATTTATTTCATTCGCCTCTGCTGTAGGTAGACATCAAGCCAAAATATATAAAACTGCAGAATTAAATTGAAATGATAAAAATGTGCTTTTGTATGCGGTAAGGTTGTTTTTTTCTTTCTTCCACACAGATTCTGTGACTGCCAGACCAAACTGTTACTGGGGACGCAACTGTCGGACTCAAGTGAAAGCACACCACGCTTTGTAAGTCAGCGACATCTGGAAATTAATTTTTACATTTTGATATCCATCCTGATAGTCACAACTTCAAATCTCATGTCTTGCCTATCCAATTCAGTTTAAAGTACTTTATTGGCATGATTATGTTTACGTACTGTTTTGCCAAAGCATTATACACATCCATCCATCCATCCTTATTATGTCCATCCTGTGAAGCGCATCAAACTTATGTCCACCAGTAGAGGGCAGCTAATGAGCATGTACTGTATGTATCGTCAGTCTGCAGTACAACAGCATAGGCCTGTTTGTTAGGACATTCAGTTTATGTAAAAGTTCTGTTTGTCAGGGGTTCTGTGGCTCTTATAAAGTCTTAATTCACTCTTCCACAAATTAAGGTCTTAAACCAGAGCAGAAAGTCTTAAATTCATAGTTTTGGCATACAATTTTGTCTGCACTTCAAAGAATATCTTCCTCAGTATTTTTCATCCTTAATTCAAGATACATTTATTTGAGGTGCAAATTAAACACATAAAGTCTTGTTTTCTGAGAAACGTAACACAATTGAGTGCATTAATACTTAAAACAAGAACAAATATCTGTCAGCAGGTATGAAAACTCGTTTTCCGTTTGAAGTTGATTTTTTTCCTTCAATTTATTTTGATCAATTTCTCATAAAACAAGATATATTTTTGTCATTTTGCTTCACGAAGTAAAAGTCTTGATTTAAGAATATTTCGACATTTGCAGAGCTGTTCAAGCTTTTTTTGTTGTAAAAATTAAATTTAAAAATTAAGTTGAAGTTGTATTATCGAATTTTGAAGTGTTGCTGCTAACACAAGACATTTGCATTTGTATTTTGTTCTGTTCAGTTCATTGCTTACATTTTCTTTACTTGGTCTTGAATTGACTTCATAAAACCTGCAGAAACTCTGGGTAATGATCAAAATCATGCTCAATAATTCAGGCGACATGCTATGATCACAATGAATCTTAATCTGTCATTTTATTTTCTCCTCTGTCAGGAAATTTAACCACGTGTGTGAGCAGACGCGTTTTAAGAACTGAAGCTGGAGGAATGTGGCTTGTTTTGACCAGTCTCCCGCTTCTGGGTAACTGATCTGCTGCGGGCACGTGTTATACCTCTGTACTCCTCTAGATGACAACTTTACATATGCAAAGTCAATCAGATGATGATAAATCAATCATCCTTGAAGTATGGTGTCAGCGCATCTGATCTGGATCTGCACTGTGTGTAGAAGCAGACACTAGTTTTTCATGATGGACTGACCGTCACACTTCTTTCCACTATGCTATTGACATGCTTTCATGCTGCATCTCAAAACGCTGGCAATCACCTTTTCATGCAAAAAGCTCTTTAGCTTGAACCTTATACAATATACAAAATATAAAATAACCCATGGTGCCTAAGAGTCAACTATGAGTGCTCTTTCTTTGCATACGTCACTTACTTCTTCCATTTTTCTTTCACTATTATCATCAACTGCTCAAGACATTTAAATGCTACTGAGAATGTTGAAAATGTATGTTATAAAAAGGGATGATCGTGTTGGTGACTCCAAACCAGTGCACTAAACTTTCACACATTAGGTATTCAGCATTTGCATTTTGTTCTTCGTTATCTGGGCAGTAAGCCATGTGAAGAAAAGGTTGCAAGCCTGTTCTGGAGGCATATGAGAGGTTTTTTTCCCCCTCTAACACAAGACTATGGGTTATATCGCACTGCAGGGGATAATCAAGTCAAATCTGATTTATAATAAAAGCTTAGATGCTTTCGCACATCTCGTTATGATAATGGAATTTTTGCTTTTGGCTCATGTTCATATGCAAACAAGGCCAGTTTTTAGCAGTGGATGATGCTTTTCCTAGCGTTGTCCTGTGTAATGAAGATATTTGAGTTTTTCTTTCACTTGTAGGATTGGTGATATAATAGGTAGATGGTATGGCCATATAATAGCTGTTTAAATATTTTAATATTTTCTGACTAGGCTAGAGTTGTATTTTTGGGCTAGTAAATGTTTTTTTTTCTTTTTCTTATTCCCATCTTCCCCATGAAGTTTTATTTCAGTTGGTGTATATTTTTAACACTCCGCTGATTCTTGTTTAACTTGGTAAACCACATTGGTTTTAGCCATAGTTCTTCCAATTATTATTATTTTTTTAAATTAATGAAAGTTTAATATACTGAGAAAGCCAATGTGATCCATGAAACCGTTACCAGCATCAGTGTTTAAAATGTGTCTTTAAGCATCAAAGCCACATGAAAATTCTAAGTTAAGAACATTTTACCCTTCAACCTTTTTTTTTTTTTTTTGGTTTATAAAAACATTGAAAGCATAAAAAAATATATTTATAACCTTTTCAGATACCTGAAAGTGCATGCTATATCTCAGTTCATTGTGATGTTTCGTAAATATTTCCAAAAATATTATTATAATATTTATATTTTACATTACTGTTAGATTGAACAAAGTATTTTTGCTTTTTTTTGCCTTGTGCATGTTTTTGGGGTCTGTTGTTCTTCACACCACAGCATTCTTCAGAGGCTCAGATTAGACTTCCTACAACTACAGAGGTCAATCCTCTACATCCCTCACCAGCCTCAACTGCGCTTTAATGAAGGTGGACAGAAGGGCTCAGCACTCTAAAACCTCACACACTGACCTAATGGCACCTGACAAACGGCCACATTTGCTGGATTTGCTACACTTCATTAGTGAATGTTAAGTTGTGATTTTACAGGATAACTCACCCTGCCATTACTTTGAAAGTGTGTATGGGAATGTTTCTACTAGGGTTCATGCTTGTTGCAAATTAATAGTTACCTCCACCTGTTCTATTTCGTTTTTTCCATTGGTGCATTTGGTAGATGCTTTTGTCTAAAGCAGCTTTCCCCAAATTTGATCTGATTGTAAATGAACTAGTATGCAAAATCTGAAATATAAAGATATGTGGGAAAGGGGTTTCTATTATATTCTAATATCTACCTAAACATTTTGTATGTCTAATATACTGATAAACCGCCCTTTGAAACCACTCTTGTATAAACCTAAAAGGTGGTTTTTGGTTTGTTGAATGGTATGTTATGATGTGAGCTCCAAAGCGGGTCTCATTCTATGAACTCTTTAAATCTGCAGGAAGGTTTGAGGGATTTATTCAGGAATGGTCCCCGAGTGTTAGAGGGGCTGCTTTGCATTTACTGAAAGGGAGATGTACTCAGTAAATATTTACTTGCTTGGGTTGGATTTTTTCTTTCTTTCAGATAAGGGGGTGTTTAATTCTACCTCATCAAAGTTTAAGCTGGGGCTTCAAATGGAGAAGAAAATGTTTTCTGCTCATCAGGTTTTTAAGTAACTATTGGGAAGCCCCTATAATAGCACTGCTAATGTTCTAGAGTTGAATTAGCGCTTGCTGTGCCTCATGTTTGTAATGCCTAGAAATACATCTGAGACAAAAACCGTGTTTAATTTACTGCGCTAATAATAAAAGACTACATTCAATTATATTTGATTCTATGTATATTCTGAAATGGTTGTACAAGATAATACAGCAGCACACAACATCACTATACAATAACATTTTATTTGCATTAAATGATAGTTACTGCATTTTAACTGTCTGTATGGTGATCAGTTCCCTTTATAATACATCAAAAACAGTACAGTTGACAATATTACTGCATTCAGGAAAACATACCATATAAAGACGACAGTTATGAAATTGCAAACGTTATAAAAATATGCTCGTACGCACAATTTCAGGTATTGCATCAGTGCATATTTAGCAGCATAGATGATGGCCACAAGGCACATAGTAAGTGATATAGGTGGAAAAACAGTAACTTGATTAAAATTACTCATAGAACAAAGTTGAGTCGAAATTAAATTTTCAGTGGTTATGTCCCTTGAGAAATAACAATATATGCCATTTCCATTGATATATTTTTAACAGTACAAAATGTGAATTGGACCCATAGTGAATTACAAAAAAAACTAAACGTGGAAGTCAAGCGAGATGCCAAGCAGCTTTCTACCAGACCAGCTAATTGGTCTTCTACAGGTTACAAAGGGATTACCGTAGAACAAGCTGTACTGTTCATAGAGCAGATACATGGAATTTCATAATGAAAGTAACAACGCAGCCTTACAACTCAAAACTCTCAGTAGTGAGTAGAAACATTACGTGAGCTTGGTTAAACGTTTATCATACATTTGCAGGTAATACAATATACTGTTAGATGGTGGTTTTATACTTGGCAAATTAAATATGCAGATACAAGAGCACATAAGTGCATTCATTTTTCATTCATGCCAATATTCATAACAAACCCATTTGAAACGTCACGGCCTATTGGAACAGCAGCTCATAAGCTGAGTTTTCAGTCCTGTTGAGATCATTTATTGACTGAATTGGTCACATGACCATCATACTCAAACATCATGGCACTGGCAGACTTTGTTTCTGGAGTCACTGTTAACAAGAGAGAGCTGAAGGATCCTGCGTCTCCAACGCGCCACCACGGACTCCCCTCGCTAAAGAGCTCGGTTGGATGCTGGGAGCTTGGCTTTTTGATAGCAGCGGCATCTTTGTGCCTTCAAACATCTGTCCGTTCATCCGCAAAGGCTTCTCGGGATGCTCTGCTGAGACTAGAGGCTGTCGGTCTTCCTCTTCTGAGATGGCAAACACTGGTAGAGTGACGTGGTCATCCTCAACGCTTGATATTTGACCTTTGACCTGCAGCTGGCTGGTGTCTGAGAGCGTGTTTGGGGTCGTAATTCCATTGGCTTGTGCTTTGGAGGACTCAGATGTGCTGGAGAGCAGGCCAAAGCAGTGAGCGATGAACCGTGAGCGTCTGAGGTTGCTGGTGGAGTTGAGGCGTCGCTGGCGCTGGGCGGGTTGAGTCGGGGGGTAAGAGGCGTTACTCGTGAAGGAGTCGGACTGGCAGCTATCGGCAGCACTGTGAAGAGGAGCATCAGATAGGACCTTTCCCCTTCCAGAGTCTGTAGCTGTGCTTGGGAGTCCCTGAGCGCACAGTGTCACAGATCAAAAAACAAACAGTTTTGTCATTACTATACCCCCCCCAAAAAAACAGGAATAGGAATCCAAAAACAGGTCTGGTGAGTTTTGAAATATTCACAAGATGTGAATCATATACCATAGATAAATTAAACACTGTCCCATTCTTCAAAGTGAGTTGTGTGTATATATATATATATATATATATATACATACACACATACATATATATATATATATATTCAAATAAATAAATGTCAAAATATACAGTATATACAGAATGTATTTATTTATTTATGTGTTCATTAAAAAATGCTGAAACAAATTATCAAAATAAAAAATGTATGGTTTACAGTTCAGTTTAATATGCATCTCATATACAGTTGTGGCCAAAATTATTAGAACACTAGTATTTTCACCAGCTAAAAAATGGGTTTAAGTCAGTTATTTCTATCTTTTGCTGTAGTGCGTCAGTAGGAAATATCAGTTTACATTTCCAAACATTCATTTTGCCATAAATTGTAATAATCCAGTGAGATTTGTGTCTGAGCAGCCAGTGCTCCACACATAGATCTGATCTGATCATCATCAGTCTGTCTGGAATGACATGAAGAAACAGAACAAACTGAGACAGACTCAGTCCAGAAGAACTGTGGCAACGTCTCCAAGATGCTTCAAGAAAGCTACCTGCAAAGCTACAGTACTGTTAAAAGTTTTAGGTACTTGTGTAAAAATACTGTAAAATGAGGATGCTGTCAAAAATAGTCATAAATAGATTTTATTTATCAATTCACTTCTATTAACTAAATTAAATCAATCATTTGGTGTGATCATCCTTTGCGTTTAAAGCAGCTTTTGCCCTCGGTGCACTTGCGCATAGTTTTTCAGGGAGATTTGCAGGTAGGTGTCTTGAAGCATCTTGGAGACGTTGCCATCAGTAGAGGTCTAAACATTTCATCCATTGTTATTAATGATGTAGCACTATCTGATCACTTCTGTATTTTCTTTGATATATTGATCTCTGCTTCCACTGAATCTAGATCTGTCTCTGTCAGAAAGAGATGCATTAAGTATTTATGACGGCTATATCTTTAACACCAAGCATTTCTGCAGACTCTGTTGATCTTCTCCTTGATTCCTTTAACTCAAAAGTTAAGAATGTTATTGATGATATTGCTCCTGTAAAAGTCAGTAAGACGACTGGCAGACAAAAATCAGCTTGGAGAAAATCAACAGCAGAGTATGAAAAGACAATGCAGAAAAGCTGAGCGGACGAAACTTGAAATTCACTATAGCATCTGTAAAGACAGCCTCCATGCTTTCAATGTGGAACAGAGTTAGACAGAGTTTCTTCTTAAACCTTATAAACAGTAAATTAAGCAACACTCGCACTCTTGTTGCTACCCCCCAATAATCAATAATATCAGGAAGGCGATTAGCACATCCTCAAGTTATGCAGAGGTCAGACAGATTCGACCGCAATTTCAAAAAGAAGTTACTATGTCTGTTTTTGAAGCAATTGATAGCAAATCGTCAACCTGCTATCTTGACACACTTCCCACATCCTTTTTCAAAAGGGTGCTTAACTGTTTAAAAGCTGATCTCTTAGAAGTGAACGCCTCACTACTTTCTGGGACTTTTCCAAACTCCCTGAAAACTGCAGTTGTTAAGCCCCTTTTGAAAAAGAGAAATCTTGATAACACCATATTGGACCAATATCAAATCTTCCTTTTATAGTCAAGATTATTGAAAAGGTAGTTTTTAATCAGCTGAACAAATACTTAAACTCAAATGGATACCTGGACTATTTTCAATCTGGTTTCCGACCGCATCACAGCACAGACAGCGCTCATTAAGATAATAAATGACATTCGCTTAAATTCTGATTCTAGCAAATTATCAGTACTGGTACTACTAGATCTCTGTGCTGCGTTTGACACGGTCGATCATAACATACTACTAGAGAGACTGGAAAACTGGGTCGGGCTTTCTGGGATGGTACTCAAATGGTTCAGGTCATACTTAGAAGGGAGAGGTTATTATGTGAGTATAGGAGAGCATAAGTCTAAGTGGACGTCCATGACATGCGGAGTCCCACAAGGCTAAATTATTGCACAGCTCTTGTTTAGCCTGTATATGCTCCCAAGTCAAATAATGAGAAAGAACCAAATTGCCTATCACAGCTATGCTGATGATACCCAGATTTACCTAGCCTTATCACCAAATGACTACAACCCCACTGACTCCCTCTGCCAATGCATTGATGAAAATAACAGTTGGATGTGCCAAAACTTTCTTCAGTTAAACAAGGAACCTTGACTCTAGGGGTCAAACAACTAAAAATCAAGTCAAGAATCTTGGTGTGATTTCAGTAGTCATGTCAAAGCAGTAACTAATTCAGCACACTATCATCTCAAAAACATTGCAAGCATTAGATGTTTTGTTTCCAGCCAAGACTTGGAGAAACTTGTTCATGCCTTTATCACCATCAGGGTGGACTATTGTAATGGTCTCCTCACCGGCCTTCCCAAGAAGACCATTAGACAGCTGCAGCTCATCCAGAACGCTGCTGCCAGAATTCTGACTAGAACCAGAAAATCTGAGCATATCACACCAGTCCTCAGGTCCTTACACTGGCTTCCAGTTATATTTAGGATTGATTTGAAAGTAATTGTAGTCATTTATAAATCACTAAGGGCTAGGACCTAAATGCATTGCAGATATGATCTCTGAATATAAACCTAACAGACCACTCAGATCATTAGGATTGAGTCAGTTAGAAATACCAAGGGTTCACACAAAACAAGGGGAATGTGCTTTTAGTTATTATGCCACCCGCAGCTGGAACCAGCTTTCAGAAGAGATCAGATGTGCTAAAACATTAGTCACATTTAAATCCAGACTCAAAACTCATCTGTTTAGCTGTGCATTTATTAAATGAGCACTGTGCTACGTCCGAACTGATTGCACAGTATTTTATATAATAATTTTCTAACAGTTTCAAATTAATTTTAAATAAATTTTTAGATCATTTTAAAAGTTTTTAAATTTCTTGTTTTATTGTTGTGATTATTTTTAATGATTATTTTACTTCCTTTTATGTAAAGCACTTTGAATTACCATTGTGTATGAAATGTGCTATACAAATAAACTTGCCTTGCCTAATCGACTAAACGGTACAGCTCCTACTAGTCGACACTGAAAACAATAGTCAATAACACGATAGGAAAAAAAAAATCAAAAACATGATTTTATCATTCAAATTACCATCATTTTAACATTGCATTTAAAACGTTTTAAAGAAGTTAAAATAAAACGTTTGAAAAAATAATACATTTTTACCTCTGACCTCACATGCGTTTTCTTCGTGTCAGTTGCGG